TATTTTAAAGTGGTTATAGTCCCCTCAAGTTAATATTTACGTTTAACACGATCATCATTGATTTTTTTTATGAGTTGTTACATTTTTGTTGATTGAATATTGTCAATTATATATACTTTTCAATAGAGGATCGGGCTCGAATCTAAATTTTTTTCCTAACCCGCACAACATCTTTCGGATATCACATTTGTATCTACAACACTCTCGTTGGGGCCCACACGAGTGTATGCCATTAGATGCATTTCACATGATGTGTTCACGTGTGTGCATAATATAATTTTTGAAATATAATTATAATGTCAAATGACACACTAGAATAAAATCCTCTGTAAATTGCAAATACATGAGGGATATTATTTTAGGTTATAGTACCAATGTCAAAAGACATGCTTTAATGAAATCTCTGGCATCCTATAAATGCATGAAGAAGGTCACTTTGAAATGCAATAGCGATGTCGGAATGACACACTATAATGAAATCATCGACATCCTAAAAGTACATGCCTGAGGTTATTTTGAGAAGGTTAAAACAATATCTAGGCGACATAATCCTCTATCACTTGGAATTTCAACGGTTTCATAGTGTCTCCCCCGTTTGGGGGAAATTCAAAGAGCTGGGTCTTCCCACTACGCTACAAAAGGGTGTACGGTAGGTGTCATGCGACACCACAGCCGTAGTCTTCAATCCCATGACACTACAAGAGCGTGTATGTGTCTTTGATGTACTTGTTAAAAAATACACAATTGCTTTTCTTGCATGCACTGAGGCACATACGGGTACTTAAACTTATCCCTATCATACTACAAGAGTGTGTATAAGGTCTACCCGGCTACCTCATTACAGGCGTCGCACCGAGCTCCCTCATACTGTGAGACCTCGTTCCCTTACTGTTGATAGACTGCTTAATTGAATGTTTTAGATAACTCTGGTAAATTATTTGGAAAATTTGATTGACATTCTTTCCAAGTTAGATCTTGGGGCATCACACATAGTGTGCGACAAAAGTGCGTATAAGAGCCCCCTCAGCACGATGCTAGTGTTGAGAATATGAATTAAAATATTATACCTTGCGCTGTGGAGTCGACGACGGTGATGCCAGCTATGTCGTCAGCACAATGGATGGTGGTTACGTGTGAATGGAAAAGGAGATGATGTGGTCGAGCAAAGAGAAAGCTATGAGCAGGAGGTTGAATGGCGCATATTGTCACAACCTTATAATTATGAAAATACTTTTAAAATGAAAACTTAAATTTATGTCTGAATCTGAGTGTAGTGGCACTATGCTTGTGAGCGCAATGACACTGCTTAAGAATGAAGCGGTGCTAGAAATAACCGTTGTGGTGTTAAAGGCTATGTTTTTTAGTAATTCTAAATTTAGCATTAATTCAGTATAGTGGCACTGGATTAGAGCGCCGCGGTGCGAGACACAAAAAATGAATTTTTTAAAATCCATCACCACCACCCACTCCCTCCATCACTCTCGTTGGTTGGCTGGGAAGGAAAGGAAAGGAAGAAGGGCAGAGGAAGAGAATGGAAGAGATAAAATCTTTCAAGGCTTTGTCATCTATTATTCATGCTACAAAAATTATTATGCTTGTTGTAAGTAACTAAACTCTTACTTCTTTTTTTGATAATTTTGATTTTTACAAAGTTCATCGAAGCAAACGATTCTAATGTTTAAAAGCTTGAACACGAGCTCACTTAGATCTATTAGTTGAGAACTTTGACTACCAACCAAGAGGTTTAAGATTTGAAGCTTACTTATGTGGTCATGGGCATATTTAAGAGGGGGCCTAGGGGGGCAAAAAAAAAAAAAGCATTATAGGGAGCTTCTCACTATAGGAAAACACGCGAATACCGTCGGATTTTCCAGCGGAAAATTTTGGACGGTAATAAACGGCACAGTTACCGGCGGATTTGTTCGACGTAAGGTTTGCGTCACCTTTTCCGGCGCAACATACGTCAGATCGAAATTCACCGACGATACAACGAATCGTATCGTGTGTTCTGGCGCCTTTGTTCGGACGGAAACTACCGGCGTAATTACCGGCGCACAGTCCGCCGGTAATTACCGGCGTATACTTTGCGTCGCAAGAGAGTTCGTGGGTTTCCTGCATGCACTTTGCGGCGTTATATCCGCCGGTAATGGCCGGCGCATAATGCGACGATAATAACCGGCGGAAATGCCGCCGGAATTAAGACGTTTTTCAACGTCGAAAACGATCCATTTTTTTACCGGTAGTTCGTCGGAATATGCACCGGAGAAATTTCCGACGCAAATTTCACGTTGGAAATAATTTATCGACGCGGCCAAAACCGGCATATGCATTTCCGCCGAAAAGTGCGACAAAAACTTATGGTTCCGTCGGATTATCTATGTGTTCCGGCGGATTTCGTTCGCCGATAATAAGGGGTTTTTCTGTAGTGTCTTAGCTGTCATAGTTTTAACACTGCCGTTGCCAGGTCTCAAGTCCTGGATGAGAAAAGTGGAGGGTTGCGTTAGGTAGTCGACAGCTAGCGTAAAACTTGTCGAACAATAATGACATGAATCCTTTTTGTGCACGAGGATGCTAATATTATGTGGGAAATAGTGGCTAGTGATATTAAGAATATTGCAAAGATGTCCTTGGAGTATCAAAGGGAAAAGCTCCTAATAGTAAAAATAGTTGGTGGTAGGGCCTAATGTGCAAGAAAAAATTAAAAATAAGAAGCTTTGTTATAAAAATTGATTTAATTTTAAAAATTTTGATAATTGAGAAATATATAAAGTGGCTCGTAAGGATGCTAAGAAAGCAATATGCGATGCAAAGGCATTAGCTTTTAGTGATTTATGTAATAGATTAGATACTAAAGAGGGAGAAAGATATATGTATAAGTTAGCCAAACAAAGAGATAGAAGTAGTAAGGATTTAGTTTAAGTGAAGTGTATTAAAGATGAAGATCAAAAAATACTTTTCTTAGAAGATGATATTCAACAAAGATGGATGAGATATTTTGCTAAACTTTTTAATGAAGATTGTGAAAATAAGATTGAATATAGTGACCTTAGCACCCTAAATGAAAAAAAAAGATTTCTGTTTTTATCGGCGTATTAGTAAAACTGAAGTTAGAGAGGCTTTAAAGAAAATGAAGGGTGGAAAAGCTGTTGGACCTGATGATATTCCAATAGAGGTGTGGAAATGCTTAGGAGATGAAGGAATTTCATGGCTTACTAAACTTTTTAATACTATTTTAAAGACTAAAAAGATGCCAGATGA